CCATCTCTACAGGGAACGTTTTGATAAAAGGTCATCCACAACGTCCTGCTGAGCGGTGGGAGAGGACAGCCTGACACAGCAAGGAGAGAGGAAGCTTGGGTTGTTTTTTTTTGCCTACACAACACTTCTGGTGAGAGGGAGGGAGAGAGGCGGGTGGGAGGGGAGGGGCGAGAGAAAGGCGAGGAGGCGATGCTTGAACACAGCAGTCCACAGCAGGGGGTGAAGTCGTTTGGCAGCCGATGAGATGGCAACCAATAACATGGATTTAATCTCACTCTACAGGTTTAATCTGACTAAAACTATGGACTTAATCTAACTAGTCAGATTAAATCCATACTAATCTGACTAGTCAGATTAATCCATAGTTTTAAAGTCCAGGTTTAATCTGACTAAAGGACAAGTTTAATCTGTTTTATCTAAAGCTGGCATCCAACTCAACTACATATATTCACTGTGAAACAGATTTCATCCAACTAAACTGCAGATTTCATCCTACTAAGAATCCTAAATTTCCCGAAGTACAATTTTGTCTTACTGTACTACAGATTTAATCTGACTAAACTACAGATTGAATTGGACAAAAACACTGCATTCAATCTAAAAATCACAGCAAAAGAGGAGAGAGGAGTGGATGAGAGGGTTGCTTACTGAAGAGGACGTGCTTGGCCAGGTTGGAGATGACATGGCGTCTGCAGATCTCGTCCGGTAGGTCTCCGTTAGGCTCCTCCCCCGGCGGGTTCTCGAACGGGGGGGCGGCGTCAGGCCTGGAGATAGGAGAGGACATGGACAACATGAGGTTTCAGAACAAAAAAGGATTTCTGCCATTTTCCCCAGGGATTTTGATACCACCAAATGGACTTGTATGTCAGTACAATGTCAGTTCTACTGCCGATGGAATAGAAATTTCCTTCTGGCAAGTTATTCATTCAGAAGAAAGAGGGAACAGGAAACACATACACACATTTTGAGGTTTCATCCTCCAAATAAATCTTTATGTACACCACACACTTTATTTCATCAGCTGCATCTAAAAAAATAAAAACATGTTTGTTTGTCTGGAACAGCTGTCATACAGTAACTGTCGCTTGTTTTGGACAATCGTCTCCATGGTGACACTGAGCCAGCAGGGGGTCCATGTGACCAGGACTTCTTGATGTTGCAGCTGGGATGCATGGAGAGAGAGTGTGTCTGTAGCTTGATACTTTATTTTTGAAAGGGGAAGACACTATTGACACAATGGTGTGTGAATGTAAGTGTGAAGCGGGCTATGCCACACTGTGTGTGTGTGTGTGTCTGTATGTGTGTGTGTGTGTGTGTGTGTGTGTGTGTGTGTGTGTGTGTGTGTGTGTGTGTGTGTGTGTGTGTGTGTGTGTGTGTGTGTGTGTGTGTGTGTGTGTGTGTGTGTGTGTGTGTGTGTGTGTGTGTGTGCATGCGTGCGTACTGGGCAGAGATGATGATGGGCACCAGGGTGAGTTCAAGGGAAGGAGGAGGTGGGACGTTTCGGCTTCGCTGGCTGTCCAGATACTCCTACAGTGTTGTTGAAAAAAACTGAAATAATATTAGAATCCTGCACAGCATTTTATACACTTCACTAACTATCTTGGTGTGCATGCTAACATATTAGCCTGATAATAGCACAATTCTAACAGCATGACGCTAATGTCATGATTCTAATAGCACGATAAAAAAAATAATGTAATAGCACATTGTAATAGCATTACGCTTATAGCATGATATTAATAGCATGAGGCCAATAGCACGATGCCAACAGCTTTACACTTATAGCATGATGTTATTAGCTTGATGCTAAAAGGACAATGCTAATAGCACAATGCTAATAGTTCTAGCTTCCCCAAGCCCTTTGTATGGAAGGGTAGTGTCTGGATGCTACGGCGGGTGTTAGCTGGAGGAGGGCTGACCTTCAGGGAAAAGGGCTGGGTGAAGTCGACGCGGACGCAGCCATAGTTCTTCCTCAGCATGCGGAAGACGCCGCACGCCACGCCCCACAAACTCTCGTTCTTCTTGGGTTTCCCCTGTCGTCCAGGAGAGAGAGAGGTCATGCAGGAGGACGACTGACAAGAACGCCTACGTATATGTGTGTACTTATACCCTATGCTGTTTTACCCTTTACCCCCTGCAACGCTATTGAACTAAAAACAGTACCAAACAGACCCTTACCCAACCCCAGATGAAACAAACGTAATCCACTCAAACCTAATGCAACCTACAAACGATGTAAGTCAGTAGCCTACTTGGACTGAGCACCCTGCGGCGATTGAAGCCCCATGCGGCGCTTTGTTTCCGGTCACAAACCGGCCATTTTGTCTGTACCAACAGACAAACCTCACCTAATCTAACTAAACCCCAAACCCCAGTGCTCCCGGGCCCCACCAGCTGCTCGCTGTTGTAGTTGCCCTCCAGGATGCGGTCATAGGAGATGCCCACAGGGACCACCAGCACGTCGGGGATGGCGCCCGTGCACAGTGTGTCCACCACGATGGACAGCATGCCGGCGCGGGCCGGCGATGGCTTGCCACTGCGCGACCGCGTGCCCTCCAGGTACACCTCTAGAAACTGCTGCTGCCGTAGCAACTCTTCCGTGTACTGGAGAGAGAGCGAGAGATTACGCAGTGATACAGTGATACGCACACGCACGCACGCGCGCACACACACACACACACACACACACACACTTGAGAGGCCTTGTGAGACCACAGCTGTCTACCCTCAAATAGACCTAGAACTGGAACTAGCAGAGAGGTAGAGAGTCATTCACATTCTGTTCTCACTCGCCATGGGCACCCGATGTCCAAGGGCCAACACAACCTTTTTAATTCAATTCAATCCAATTCAATTCAATTCAGACACAAGCCATTCCTTTAACACCATCAAAGCTGAAATATATTTTTCAAAATCTTCAATGTTTTGTAATGAAATGTAGTCCTCTTCCCGTCTCAGTTGATATTGATTATGTTGTCCCCAAAATATATTCATTTCAAGATATTTGCAGAAAACATGTTAGCCACCATGTCAACAAGGTGAACATTCAAAACATAAAACGCCGTTCCAAGCTAACTTAGCAACACTGGTTCATAACCACTTTGTGAAAACAATAAAGTTGAATTAGTTTGTTGTAGCGCATCATATATAGTGTAGGGTGTGGTGATTGTGGTTTGTAATCATATCAGTAAATTCTCTTATCTACAGTGAGCACACAAAGTCCGCTAACCTACTTAAAATGGCTAACGGACGAACCCCATCATCCTGCCAACTCGCTTTTTAGCTCCGGAGCACAAATCTCTCCGCATCGTAGCGATAATTAAGAGGATTCAAATAAATCGCTTGGAAACAAAGCTTGTTCTGATACGTTTGGACCGAGTTCCACACAACCAATTCATTGTTCAGTCCCTTAAATGGACTTATCCTGGCTGTCCTGTATTGAACTTTGCTTGCTTAAAACCATTCACCGCTAACAATTAAAACAAGAAAAAACAAAGCTTTTCGTCACTGAATCAATGTTGTCAACATTGTAGGAAACAAGCAGAACATACTTTATTTAAACTTGTTGAATTCATAGGAATGTTTTAGTCTTCTGATACATTTCCATCCTTTTGATTGATTACATTTACCAATACATATATTGTCATACATTATTTATTACTCATTAGTTACTGGTAAGAGTGAGGTATTGTAATAGTGAGATATTCACTGGCAATATCTCACTATTGCAATACCCCTCTCTCACCAATATCTCACCATAACAAATATCTCACTCTTTCAAATATATAACCAATATCTCACTCTTTTAAATATATAACCAATATCTCACTCTTACCAATACATTCCTAAAATCTCACTATCATAATTGTTTCACTCTTACCAATATTTCACTCTTCACTCAATCAATATCTCACTGTTATCAATATCTCCCCATTATCAATATCTCCCCATGATCAATATCTATATCTAATCATGATATCTAATCATAGCTAAATTCCTATCATGTTACTTAGCTCTAGGTTTAGCCTTGCTTTTCCAATCCTTTCAAACTGAAAAGATAGGCCATTTGAATGTAAAGTAGAGCAGCTTCTATCGTAAGGCTAAGACCGCTAGGCTAGTTACATAACACAGTTAGCATGGAGGACCAGTAGCAGCCATCTGGGGGGCCTGCACAGAAGGACTTAGGGTCAATCCCCGGGCTTTAAGGTCTAAATTAGCCTCGTCTCACGGAGAACGCACGGAAGAAGACCAAGGGAGTTGAGGACGAAAGGTTCAGCCGGGGATGACAGTCACTTCTGCCCTCTTATCTTCATGTCTGATCAGTAGAAACCTATATCTCACCAGTACAGTACACACCTTTCTCATCATGTTTTATCAGTACAAACCTATATCTCAAACTTTAACTTCAAACTTTAAACATTATAAAACTGTAACACCATTCAGTTAAAAGAGTGTAAACAACGCAGAACAAAAAGACAAAAGACGAGTGCAGAAACTTAAATTCAACTGCTGTAGTCTGCGTTTGAATTCGAGTGAAGAACATCAGCGTTTTGGCCAATGCGTTCATCCATAAGCAACTTACAAGTCAGGCTGAAAACAATTGCATCATATTAATCATTATCACATTGACTAATCATAATCAATCACTACTGAAGCAACTAAGAGAGTGCTAGGTATCCCAACGCTACCGGACAAACTGTTGAACAGATACATGATGAACAATTAAGGTGTACAAATAATCAGTATAACAAACATAAGAAAACACCCTAATCTGATATGTACAGACAATACACATCAATAGTAGGAGATTTAAACTATGACACACACACACACCATTATGGGGTGTATTCTGGGACTTACTGCGTGTAACAGCGATCTGTACAGAACATCTTTCTTGCCGTTTCCGGTTTCGTCCATTTTGCGGCGTATAAAGAATCCTCCCAGTTTACGAATCAGCGTGCTGGGAACAGAACACACAACAACAACAAACCTTATTGGTCTCATCTAGCTCAACTGGTAGAGCAGGGGCATTAACACTGCCAGGGTTAGGGGTTTGATTCCCTGTCTAGCTCAACTGGTAGAGCATGGCATTAACACTAGGGGTTTAATTCCCCGTCTAGCTCAACTGGTAGAGCAGGGGCATTAACACTGCCAGGGTTAGGGGTTTGATTCCCTGTCCAGCATGGCATTAACACTATCAGGGTTAGGGGTTCAATTCCCTGTCTAGCTCAACTAGTAGAGCAGGGCATTAACACTACCAGGGTTAGGGGTTCAATCCCCCGTCTAGATCAACTGGTAGAGCAGGGCATTAACACTGGGGTTTGGTACCTGCGGCTCTGGTGGTCATTCACCAGATTAGTTTTTTACAGATGTTGCCTATTAAAGCCCAATACCATAAAGTGATTTTTCTTTAAATTAATTTAAAAAGGACACTAACCTTCAAAAATTTGAAATATTATTGTATATATATATATTAGGGCTGTCAATCGATTAAAATATTTAACTCGATTAATGATCATAGTTAATCATGATTAATCGCGTTTAACTATGATCTATGATGTAATACTCTTTTCAACATGAGAATAGACAAATGCTTGCTTTATGCAAAAAAAGCATGTTTATTTATTGCTACAATGAGAAATACTCTCAGTTCAAGTAACTAACGTGCAAACTGCACAGTAATGTTTAATAACACAGTAGTGTGTTGAACTTCACATCTATCTAATTTAAAATAAATAAAGTGTGCATGAAATAGTGGTGAGTGTTACAGAACATGACTCAAATGATAGTGCAGTCAGCCTATAAACAGCTGTTCTGTTATATTCAGCAGAGGCTGAACAACCCAACCTCCATCTCCTCTCTTTTAACAGACCAAATAAACTAAACATGAGCCTCCATCTCTTCTCTTTTTTTAACCAGACAAATTGAAATAAAGATCCACCTCTTTTTTTAACAGACAAAATGAAATACAAATCTGCCTCCTCTTTTTTAACAGACAAAACAAACATCAGCCTCCATTTCTTCTCTTTTTTAACAGACCAAATGAATATCAAGTTATTTATTTCTACTGAGCCAGTTGTTCAAACAGACAAGCCTGTTGACATTTTCAGAAGCCAGGGAGGCTCTCTTCTTATTCACAATATGCCCAGACAGTGAAAACAGCCTCTCGCATGGCACGGAGGTGGCAGGCGTTGCCAAGTATTTGCGTGCAAGGCGGGCCATCATGCTGTGTGCCCCTTCATGGTTAGACCACCACTGCTGCGGACAATCCTCGGTGTCAATAGTGGGCTCCGCCTTGTAGCGCTCCACACAGCTCTCAAAGCAGTCCTCCTCTTCATCAGATGAATACACTGGAACAAGCAGGAGAGCTAATCGTTTCTTAGGTGGCCCAGATGCCGCTGGTTGTTCTTGCTGTGCAGACCTCTCTTTCCTGAGCAAGGCAGTGATCAAACGCCACACCTCAGCCCTGTCAGGTTTGCTCAGACACTTCAAGTCCGTAAACCTAGGGTCCAGAGCTGTCGCAATCCTCAGCCATGTCATGTTTGTTTTGTCCTTGCGTTGCTCCAAGCCTGCTGTGAAGGTCTCCTTGAATTTAACCATGTAAGCTGGGTCATCCTCAGAGACCTCCATGACTAGTGACAGATGGCATAAGGCTGGCAGCACCACTGAATAGGATAGAAACTTCTCTCCTCCGAGAAGTTCTGTTATGTACCTGCAATAATAGGGGAAAGAAAAAGTTAGGAACTTGTTACATTCACCCACACAAGGGCTAAACACACACACACACACACACACACACACACACAATGATAGTATCAATTAGAGTATCAGTAATTCACCTGCAGGGTTCCAGCACTGCCTCCAACTTCTGCAGTTTATCCAGCTCAGCTGCTGTTGGCATTGTGACCTTGGTTGCATGGAGGGCCAGGGTATCTCTCAGTGGTTCTTGATTTCTCAGAATACGCCTGATCATCTCCAGGGTGCTGTTCCACCTAGTTGAAACGTCTGGTGTAAGCACCTCTTTAGTTTTTCCCTTTGCAACTTGCTGCTGCTCAAGCTCTGCTGAATTTGGTGCACTGTGCTTGAAATGGCCCACTACCTTTCTGCATTTTGCCAATGCATTATCAAATGGGCTGTGTTGTAGAGACACTGTCGTTGGAGGAGATGTGCTGTGCAGGGCATGTGCTCAAACGGGAGTACCTTGGACGCTGCGATCATGTTCCGTGCACTGTCGGTGCTGACTTTATCTTCAACATTCCATTCTCGGGCTACGTGCATGAAGTGCTCTGCGCACATGCTGGCGAAGTGCCTCTCCTCTGTTTTCATAACAGTCAACGCACGTGACTAAAGTCCCCACTGATCGTCAAAATAATGCGCTGTGACCCCGAGGTAACTCTGATTACTTAGTGAGGTCCAGTAGTCTCCGGTCAGCGCAACTGTGCTTGTCTGCCCCAACGCCGCCGCCACCTTGGCTCTCTCGCTGTCATACAGGTCGTGGATGTTCTTGGTAGTAGTGGCTTGACAAGGTAATTCATATGTCCAGTCGTTGGATGCAATGCGTATTATTTCACGCAGACCGTCGTCCTCCACAATACTTATCGGCCTGCACGCTGTAGCCACCCATTTTGCGACTGCTTTTGTAAGTTTGCGGCTTGTAGAGTTGTCCAGCTGTTTCCCTTTCAAATTATCCAGCGTGGTTTGCTTCATGCGAGGGGGCGCCGGGCTCTCTGCATCCGCTGTGTGCTTGGCCGACAAATGGTATTTGAGACTAGTCGTACTCCGGTGGTAAGTAAATTCACCGCGACAATAAATACAAATTACTTTTGTCCTGTCAAGAGAGCCATCTGGCAAGACTTTGTAGCTGAACTTGCCATTCAAAATATCTTTTTTATCCATTACTGCTCACGGGGTTGTAGTTTGTTTGCGGCATCGACCTCGTGTGCATTGCTTCCTGATTTCCCGAGCTACGGAGTGGCCCGAGGTTCAAATGTCACAGCGTTAATTGCGCGTTAAAAAAAATGTGTGCCGTTAAAAGCATGTTGCGTTAACTCGTTAATAACGTGTTAACTTTGACAGCCTTAATATATATATATATATATATATATATATATATATATATATATATATATATATATATATATATATCAGAGGTTGCGCTAGACAACTTTCGTTGTCCGTCATTTTGACTGATAGGGTCATAAAAATCCCGTCATAATCTATTTTTACCAGTCACTTCAATTTTTTAAATGATAATAATGACATGTTCAATAGCATTTAATTTTAATTCATTTTTAATTAATATTCAGTCCAAACAAGCTGAACAAATAATCCACACCGTGGATACACACATCAAGCAGAAGAACATGTAAGAATATCGGCCGCCAGGCGATTCGCGTATAGTGGGGCTTGACTGTCATCACGCGGATATTTCGCGTATAGTGAGGCTTGACGGTGATTCATCACCACAATGCGGGCGGGAGCTAGTTGATCCACTAGTCAACACGCGGGAGCTAGTTGATCCACTAGTCAACACGCCCCCAAGCGAACGAGTTTTCAAGGTGGCGCGATGTCGCGGATAATTCGCGTATAGTGGGGCTTCTAGTAGGGTTGTGCCGATGGACGATCGTGATGGCTGACTGACATGCCACGCCCCCCTCGTCCGACACACACTAATCATATAGTCTCTTCTACAGTTATTACCTAAAAACTTTGCAGGGATTGCTCTGTAAATACATTGAAAATATAACTAATGGTCCATATAAACTGCTGTAAGTTAACTAGGGCTGCCCCCTAATAGTCGGCTTAGTCGAATAGGTTTTCATTAGTCGAGCAAAAAGTAAAACATAAAAATAAGAAGGCATGAGCATCGCAAACCGAATACATCCGTGGTCGCAACAAGCCCTGATTTAACTAATCGCTGCAGGCATACTGACCAATACACCTGGGCAGGTAGACACCTACTAGGTGTCTACCTGCCCAGGTGTATTGGTCAGTATGTCTAGCGGTGTCTACCTGCCTAGGTGTCCTAGGCAGGTAGCCACCGCTAGACACACAGGACTCATACCGGTCTTCGTGGCTTTAGTTCCCCGTGTCTGATCGCTTTAATTCGGAGCGTGAATATCGGTTGAATATCTAATATATTTCTAACTTTAAAAAACACTTTAGTATTTTTTAAAACGATAGTCGCACATCCCTCGTAACTACGCCGTGAAGGTGAACCCTCCCGGACTCCGCTATTAACATGAACCGCTCCACCGGAGGAGCCGCACATCCACACGCACCGGACACCAACATACAAACATTTGTTCCATTTGATTGCTTTTAAATAAAGTTATGTGCAGTTATACGGTAAATACGATTATTAAAAGTGTTGGTCCATGCCGTTAATAGGCGGCCCGCTTCGTGGACCGCCTATTAACGGCCCCCGCCCCCCCCCCCCCCCCCCCCCGACGACGATATCATCGTCCATCACGATGTTTTACTGTAAACATTGTCAACTGCCAATTTAAGGGCTCCTCGCGTGCCCGCTTGCGCGTAATCAAATGTTTCAAGTGGGTTTGTTGTTTCTTTCTTCTTTTCTACTTTTCTTCTTCTACAGGAGCCAATTAATATGCTCATCGCCACCAAGTGGTCAAGGTGTGAAATGCAATCTGTCAAAATGATGGATGGCCCTCAGATTTTTCCGTCACCGTTTTAAAAAAACTGTCAATAACGGAAAATATTCGGTTAACGCGACCCCTGATATATATATATATAATGTTGTTTTTCTTATGATCTTGATGCAACAAATCATATTCCTAATCAATATGCTATATTAGAGGGGGGGCCATAATAAACCCAGCAACCATATTATTAGCTGCCCCCCCCCGTCCCTCTATAATGGCACCCACACTTCTGGCCAATATTCAGCCGCATAAGACCCCCAGCTCACAGCACCCTGACCCCTCCCCTCTGTCAGCCAGTTTCCAGGGGGTCTATTTTAACTCCAGCAGGTGGAGAGGCTATGACACACAACATCTTTAATGTTAGTCCAGATCAGATGTTATTTAGGACCCCCATGGAAACAAACCTGGC